TGGGGTTGGGGTGAGGCTGGAAAAGGTATCCACAATTAATAGAGCTGTGAATTAAGGGGGTTCAATAATTTCCCATTTACTTGTAATGAGCAAAACATTAGCTTTTGTGAGGAGACAGACAACAAGCAGAGAGCTACAAAGGTGAATTCTGGGCCATGTAGCAGGTCAGTACCAGTCCTGCTCAATTTCTTAAGATGTCTACACCCACAGTGCTGATGGGTGATAACCAATTCGTATCAGCTCGGCTCTGCAACAGCTCAGGGTGTCTTCAGAATTACCAAAGAATGTCCTGTAATCGGCATCACTGAATTATTAAGTGAACTCAATAGCTTCCAAGTCTTCGGAAATCGAATGTTCACAGAGCAAATCTGGCAATTTGCAGAGTAAGATCTTAACCGTTTGTGATAAAGAGAGGCTCCCGCTCGGGGTAGGCAGCTTAGCCCTTCCAGTGGCTTTCTTAAGAAGCGGTCACACAGAGCCATGGAATAGTCAGCATTTAACGTCGAGGTTGTGGTCGAGAGCACAGACGGTGGGGCAATCGCACCAAAGAGGAAGTGAGGGAGCAACGGAGTAGCTCAGCAGCAGACCGTCCGAGGGATGGGAACGGCTACACCTTGACAGCTGGACTCCCCAGGGATCGGTGTCAAGTCAGAGTCTAATCCCCTGCTTTTTGGCACAGCTCAGTGAACAGAACACACATTACCCCACGGGTTGATTTATCTCAGCCAGAGGCCTCCTGAAACTTCCTTGTTTCCCCTTCGTAGAAGGGGGTGAAAGGAAGAGCGTGACTCCAGGGAGCTGCTTCGGAGACACTGTTCATGAGCAGCTCGAAAGTGCCTCGGATACCTTGTTCTAAAACTACGGCTCAGCGCAGTCATTCTGCTGGAGGAGTCACTGTACTTAACTGCGTGAGTTGTCAGGAAATTAGACCTATGTTACATGATCTTGGCAGACAATCAAGGTTTGTAATATTTTGTTTGTGTTTAACGGACGAACGCATATGGGGACTGTTGGGGAAGGTAGATTAACCTACTCTTTAACCCAGGCCAAGCAACCTAACTTTTCAGGGTCAGCAAGAGCAGGAGGACACTGTTAAAGCCATGATCGCTGAAACTAGGTGACCCATTACTCTGCCCCCAGGGTCTGAGCCTCTCTCTGAGCCTCTGTGTCAGCCTGTCGCTCAAGTTCTGTATGTTCCCTGAATAACATACATAAGACTCATAACATTTACCATGTTTCCTATTTTCAGATCTTCTTATTATGTGGTAATTGTCACCTCTTCTCAAAAGCATGCATGAAAATCACACACACCAGTGGGTCTCAAGTGGGAGCGATTTTGTCCCCCAGGGGACATGTGGCAATGTCTGGAGACATTTCTGGTTGTCACAGCTTGGGGGGAGGAGTGCTACTGGCATCTAATGACTAGAACCCGGGGAGGCCACTCACCATCTTACAGTGTGCAGGGCAGCTCCTACCATAAAAAATCATCCTGCCCCAAATGTTCATTTTGCTGAGGCTAAGAAACCCCAAGAAAGACATAAAGACACAGCACTGAACTCAACAGGTATCTTAAAATTGGGATTTTGTCTATGCCTGTCCAATTAAAGAGCCATTTGGCCATGCAATTCAACAACACGGATGGTCACAGTAAGTCAACGAAGGTACAATATTTGATTGTTGGTTTATTACAGTGACAGAACAGGGAGGAGGAAGGACAACTCGGCTCATCTATCTCAATCGTCTAAATGAGTCAGATGAGCTGTGCGAAATCAGGGCACTTGGGAGAGAGCACTCCACTCTGTCACCAGCTACACCTGTGCCACCTTGAACCCCACCACTGAGGCTTGGGTTTCCAAGGAACACAAAATAGAAAACCTGTCTAACCCACTAGTTGGATTTGACACAGACCGTACCCAAACACTTCGCAAGTTGTATAAGACGATAATAAGGAGGTATTTATTATGACCTGCCGTTTCTCTGAAAGTGTTGCCAGGCAATCACGGATTCATGCACACCGTCCGTGACCATTATACTCCAGCATCTTGATAGCCCATCCAAACGAAGACCGGCTGGTTCGCTATCTTGAGTATCTCTTGAACACGCTAACTGCTCTCCACCTCCAGTCCAGCTGCCATCATACGCAGGTCATTCTTCTCTCATCTCTCCCTGGCCCCACCACCAGGATGCACTCTGCCTCCTGCTCACCCTCAACTCCATCCTGGGCTCCACATAGATGGAATGCAAATCTGACCAAGTCACCAGAAGGCATTAAGGACAACACCCAGCTGGAAGGATGGAGTCACACCATAAACCAAATGTGGGAAAACCATGGGAGGAAAGGCTGGGAGGAGAGCATTAGCTGCTACAGGACATTTTTGTTCTGATGATAAAAACAAGAAGACCGTGGTGCTATACTTTGGAAAACTGTCACATTATACAAATGGCGAATGCTCTTGTCTACTTAAGACCATTATGACCGTGTAAAAACATGAGCAAGTGTTGTGGCAACTCTTAGCATTTTCACTATTCAATCGTCCCTTTAGAAAACAGACCAAATGGCAGGCGCACAATAGGCACTTAACAAATGTTTGTTGAATGAATAAAATGTGAGCCACTGATTTCTCACGGGAAGTCTCGCCTTGGGCAAATGAAAAAGCACCGAAGGAAGAACATTAAATACTTGCCCCCTGGATTACATCTCAGGGTAGGCAGGAGGTACTAAGATACGGTAATACATAGTGGGGCAGAACCACGTGGCGCAAAGGAAGTGGATTCTTCGTGCTAAAAGGCAAAATGAGCTTTTGGAATTACTTAAACCAGGATGGGGGAAGCAGACGAAGAAAGCAGTGTTAGAAGAGATGTTAAGCCTTAGAGGGTTATGTTGATATGAAAAGCAATGGGTCACACTTAATAAAGAACATTCTTTTGACTTGTGACTGATACAGAGCTGCTGAATGCTGCTGCTTTATCACCCTTAAGTATGCATGAGAAACTTCTAGAGGACCCCGGGTGATTTCTTCCAACCTGAAAGCCAACAAATTCCCTCTGGAATCTTCTTTTTTATAGCCCTAAATCAGAAAATAGGCATGTGGTGGTCTGTGCTTGAAAAAAAGGCTAGTTCATCAGCGAATCTTCAGAGCACAAGAGGAGATGTCAGCATTAGCTTGACTCTAAGTTTGTGCTTTTAGCAGGATGAGACAGCTGAATGAAAATAGTTTTTAAATTGTTTGGGGATGCATCTGCCTAACTGAGGCAATAATCATTCACAGAATGGATAGATTTTTTTTTTTTAAAGTAAGGAATTAGTTCTCACCTTTCCTCCTCCACCTTGGAAATGGCATAGAGACCTCAGATTGCAAATCAAAGGGCATCAGCACACAGTTCAAAATCTGGAAAAGGTGGTGGGGTAAAATGTCGACTGGGAGTAATGAGCACAGACTTCAGAACCTTCAGTGCAAGGAAACCTCTGCCACAACTGGGTTACCCTTAATATCACTTTAAAAGGAAAATCACTGAGCCACGCGTGTCTCCAAAAACGAGCATTAGTAACTTACTAGTGTTTCAGTTGTCATTTCAAGGCAAGTTAATGGCAAAACTAGAGAAAGCCATCATAAGATTCCTAGAATGTTCACCGGTAGGGACCCTGATGATTTTCTAATTCAGGTCCTCTTTTTTTTTTTTTTCCTCCCAACGCATCAGCATGAAAGGGTAGGGCTTCCAGATTAGCCCAGTGGCCCCCAGCTGATCCAGGACCCACCCTGGCAACAAGAACCAGGACCTCTGTATTTACAATTCCTGTCCACTCTCCACTCCTTTCTTTAAATAAAATATATATTTTTAGTTTTGTTGTTTTTTTTTTTAACGTGGAGAGTGCATTTTGGAGGACAGGAATTCCAGACAGATAACTGTGAGACTAATTATAAATACTGATGATTCTTAACTTTGTGCCTGCTTCTCTCCGATTTTAAAGTAGCATGTGTAATTTCAGCAGTGAACATCACGTCAAAGACAAGTCAGTAAAGTAGCAGACGGCAGGACGTCTGCAATGGCCCATCTCAAAACACCGCATCTTACAACTGGAAAATAAATGTCCAAAGACCGGGGTGAGCTAAGGCGGCTGCCTGCCGGCTCCCTGCAGGCGGCATTCAGAACCTTCAGGAGTAGTACTCATTCCTCAAAAACATCTCTTTTCTCTCTCTCTCTCTCTCTCTCTCTCTCTCTCAAAAATAAACTCAATCTGGAATCTGGATTTGCCGGTCCGTCGTTCACCTTGAAACCTTGACTCCTACTTTAAAAGAGGAAAAGCCCTTGAGCTTTTAGTCTGTGGTGTCCTGCCGACCCCCCGTGCAGAGTCCACGCAGTGCCTGGTGCTCGGTTTGCCCAAAGTCCCCGGTAAATATCTGAGGAGTATTTGAGTCAACAGGGAGGAGAGAAGCCACTGGCAGAAGACCCCCTGGCGTCACCTTGTGTTAATCGGATAATGTGCGACATTCTGTCCCGCCACAAACTCTGAGGGAGATGCACACCCTCTTTTCCAGAAGCAAACCGGCTGCACCCCAAAGTGCCCTGCAGCATTTTCTCATGAGAATCCACTAGCCCCACGCTCAGATCGCGGAGCAGCCCTGCCTCCCGGCTAGTTCTATTCTCCTTCTTGCCGCATATCTGACCGAAGGTTGAGCGGGCGAACCTGGGCCCCAGGAGCCCCGTTTCTCAGACCTGGCCGGCGAGGCGGCGGCACGACTCAGCCTCTGGCCGCAAACGCCGTGTCCACCGCGCGGGGCAAAGGAACGCGGGCTTCAGGGCTGGGGGCTCCCATTGTAGGGTGCAGCCGAGTTTCTAAGCAGGTGACGCTCGGGGGTGACGCCCAGGACGCCTTCCAACACCCTAACCCCCGACCGAGGACCTCTGGGGAGACACTGGTCCCGTAAACCCCAAGCTGTCCCCTCCCGGGCCGGCCAAGTGGCGCCCCCTGTCGCCCGTGTGCGCGCCGGGACACTCACCGCGTAGTGCAGCTGTGGTTTCTGGCGGTGTACCGGGTCCCCCATGTCGCCACTGAGAAGGAGTGACAGGCCCCTGAGCACAGCTTGGGGTCGCGGCGCCTCTCCGAGGTCCCCCTATTTCACCGCCATCCCGGGCCAGCCCCCGGACGCGAGCCCCGTTCCCCGCGCCCCCAGCGCGCCGCAAAGCCCGCAGGCACCAGCGTCCCGCCGAGAGGCTGACAGGGACCGGGAGGAGGCGGCGGCCGCGGCGTAAAGGAAGGAGAGGGAGGTGGAGGAGGAGGAGGGCGAGGAGGAGGAGAGGAGGAGGAGGAGGAGAGGAGGGGGCGGAGGTGGGGGAGGAGGGGAGGGGAGCGGCCGAGTCAGATGGGATGGGCGGGTGCTTAATTCCTTCCGCTCCGGGCGGGCTCCTGTCGCTGCTGCCGCCGCCGCCAGCTGCTGGGGGCTGCAGCGACGGAGCGCGCCCACGACAGGTGTCAGGGCGGCCGGCGCTCCTACCTCCTGCCCCTCCACCCCTGCCAGGCCCGTGGGAGCCGCGCCGCCAGCGCTGGGGCTGCTGAAGCCCTCAACATCAGCGAGAGGGCGAGCTTGGGTTTCCAAGAAAGAGCGACTTTCGCTAACTTTGAAAGGGGTGTGGGCCTGACGCTGGGAGGCGATTCGGAACCCGCTGGGGCGAGGGCGGAGTTTTGGTGTTCGGAAAAGCCCTCCTTCGCGGGAGTCTCGACGGCGGGAACCCCGAGAGAGGGCAGGCCTGAGAGGGGCCAACTAGTGCGGCCCGGGGGAGCTGAGGAAGGCCCGAGGAAGGCCCGGCCGGTTGCCGGCCTGACCGCGCCACTTTGGGTAAACCGAGTCCCAGAGAGCTTGCGGGACCTGGGCACGTCTGAGGAACCCAGCTGGAAGCGGGAGTCGCGTAAGAATCTGCCACCACGCAACGGCGGGTGTTGGTGCCGGGTTGCATCGGAGTTGGGGGCTGGGGTCGCTGCTTTCTGTGCCTTAGCTCTGAGGTGCGCATCAGAAGAGGGCACAGCAAGAATCTGGAAACAGAAGAAACGTATACTCCTTGCAAATGCTGCCAGATGAACCAAATAATTTTTAGCACACACTGGAGGTTCACAACACCACTGAAAACCGGCCTCCGCTGTACAATCCCTTGTGGAAGTGTGCACTTGGAAACACCCCAGAGGTCCCTCCCTCGGCCTGGCATTCTGTGATTTACCTGAGGTTTCCCACAAGCTAAGTCCAGACAAAGGCAGGGTCTGGGGCCAGTGTGGAGACTCCAGACCCGGTGAAATCCATCAATCAAAGCCCAAGACGGGGAGCTACCCAGGGGAAGGCGGGTTTCTGGGTGGCCTGTCTCCATTCTTCAGGGTTCCCACGGTACTGCACTTGGCCAGGAGCACTTCCTGCGCTCTGTGTGGGTGCACCGGGTGGGAATAAGGGAAATAACATGTGTCCCCCGTGTTTGAACCCTTACGATTCAGTTGGATGAACCACCCAACTAATAATATTTTGAAAACAATGGCATCATAATTGTAAATATGGACATTGTAAAAACAACAACAACAACCAGGAATGTGAAGCCAGGGGCACAGGTATCCTGAGGAATAGATAATCCCATGACCATTCATCTTTCTGGAAAGCTCTAAGATTACATTTGCTAAAGCTGATTACACGCTTGCCCTCTGATCCAGGAATTCCACTCCCAGATGCGTAGAGAAAAGTGGGTGCCAACAGCTTCCTCACGTACGAGGATATTTAAAATCTTGCGGTAGATTCGCTAAAATGAAAACAATCGAGATGCCCATCAACAGCTCCTCGATGGACCAATGGTGGTCTGTTCAACAATGGGATATTACTCAGCAATGAACAGAAGAGAATACTGACACACACAATGACATGGATTATTCTCACAAATGTTGAAAGAAATCATACACAAAATAGGACACAATGTATGATTCTACTTACTTATTCCAGAATTGAAATTCAAATGTTGAACTGAAATAGGCAGCTGTGACCAACTTATGGTTACAGAAGCCACAACAGGGATAAATAAACAAGGAAATAAATATAAACAAATGAGTATCTATTACCAAGATAGGGAGTTGGTACTGACTGGGAAGGCGGCACAAGGGAACCTTTCGGGGTGCTGGAGACGTTCTGTATCTTGATCGGTTAGACACCTTACCCGAGGACACCCACATGGAAAATCTCATTGAGCACTCCAGTTCAGATTCCTGTAATTTACACCCTTTGCTATGTGTATTTTATACTGCAGTAACATAAAAATAAGCTTAAAACCAGTTCCCTGTCCCAAACGGGAACTTATGACCAGCGTGTTGCCGCCTGTCTTGAGAGAAAGTCCACGTCACCATTCACCCCGGTCCCCCTGCAGGACGCGCTGCACAGGTCTCCTTCCCCTCTGCTGCCTGGGAGACCAGAGCTCGCCTGCTCACCTTGGAGGCCCTCCCTGCTTCCTCACACCTCCAGGCAGAGCTGGAAAAATGATATGCTCAAGTCCCCTCTTCACTTCGGCTCTGCTCTGCTGCAGAAAGCAGCCGTTAGAGCTCTGGCAGCGAAGACCCGTAGGATAAGGCAGAGAAGAACTAGCATCGGCTTCGCCACGCGGCATCTTTCAGAGAATGAAGCCCGGACCCATTTAGGGACCTTCGCTTCACCGTGGTCCATTTAGAAAGCTGAACTCTCCAGCTTTAGGATTTCTCTCTCTGTCATACTGGCCATCGAACCTCCAAAGCTAAAAATCCTTTGCCCTACGGAAACGGGTTCATTATTAATATACATAAACAATACAAGGTGTGTCCCTGGATTTAAAAACCTGAACCATGGGGCGCCTGGGTGGCTCAATCAGTTAAGCCTCTGCCTTCAGCTCAGATCATGATCCTGGGGTTCTGGGATGGATTGAGCCCTGCATGGGGCTCCCTGCTCAGCAGGGAGTCTGCTTCTCTCTTTCTCTCTGCCCCTCCCCCAACTCGTGTGTGCTCTCTTTCAAAGAAATAAATAAAATTTTTAAAAAACACCTTAACAACAGTGCTTTGATCATTACCCCACAGTAAGCCACCCCCATGTTAAATTGGCTCACCTCACATTGTTGGTGTGCCACCTTTGAAAAATGTGTTGTCACAAAACAGCATTATCGTAAGCCAGAAAAAAAATCCATCATTCCCGAACTGTGTGCTTACATTCTAGGAATGACTTCTACCTGCTGGCATATTTCTCGCTAAATTGTCATTGCTAAGTCAGAGTTAAATTCTTAAGTGCAACAGGGCTGTTTTTCCGTGTTTGAAAGGTCTGGGGAGGTAAGACAAAGCATTTGAGAAAGGAAATGATCGATTCATGCTGCAAGACACCAAATTCACCTCAGAGGGAATCCCACACCTTTTCAGTTCTCAGTCTGCTCGTTCAAGACTCAAGAAGGGACCTAGAAGATTGTGCCAAACTTGAAAAGTCCTATTAAGTCTTAAACAATTTGAATTCCACACATTATTTCTATTTGAATATAGTTCAAGGCATAGTTTAAACACCGCTCCAATCAAAAAGTCTTATTTGCACATCTCTGCTCCTAAGTATCCTCTCCATGGTGTTTATTTATTCACTCGGTCACTCATTCAGTAAATATTTTTAAGGGCATACAATTTGCTGGTATTGTCCTAGGTCATTTAAACTACATTTTAACACGGCAGGTGGTTTCAAAATTCCGGTTTTTGTCTGTTGGGTGACCATGGGAGATGACCCCAAGCACACGAACCCTCGCCTAGCGGAGGCTGAAGTTCATGCCTCTCGCTCGGTACGTTAAGAGCCTGTGTGGCTAATGTTCTCTTTTGGTTAGTCACTTTTTCAAAAAATAATACATTTCTCTGATGTTTACCATTTCCCCCAGAGAGGACTCAGAAATAATCTCTAGGACTTCCTCTACCAGCATCACTTTTAAGATAAACATGTGTCATCCTCACAGTGGAATTTCCTTGTCTTCCTGCCCCCTGAACATTACAGCATTTTCAGGACTAAGGGCTGTCCTTGCCACCACAGCATTGAAATTAAAACCCCTGTTTGCCTTTACTCCGTCTGCCTATAAGCTGAGTTGACATTTTCCACACTTGGTGCCAGCCCAGGGGTGATTAGTTTTTCAAGAAAACTTTACCCAAACCCATGGAAGCAAATTCAGCTTCAGAGTTTAGGAGGACCTAAGGGCTATCTGAGCACTAAAACCTATGTAGGCTAGCAGGATAAGGCCCCGCTTGGAGGCCCAGCCCTGTCGCAGAGTAGCTCTGAGACCCTCTTGGGTGGAGGGACCCCTTCCCTAAAACCCAGTGCCTACACTCTTCCATCCTACTGTCTTGTCAATCTACCTGCTAGAGTACTTTCCAAATTTTGAATTTAAAAAATTGATAACATACAATGTGTAGCTTAATGAATTTTTGCAAAACATATGCCTATCATCACCATCACTGAAGTCAACAGAGAGTCCCAAGTCCCTCAGCTATATTGTAACACCCTCCCCCAGTGGCAGACACTGCCCTATATTTTATGGACTTGACTTCTTTGCTTCCCTTTTATAGCAGGGTTTCTCAATCCTAGCACTGTTGACATTTGGGAACCAATAATCTTCCACTCCCCCACCAGCTTTATTGAGATATAATTAACATATAACATTACTTAAGTTTAAATACTTATTTAAATAATTACCAGAATGAGTTCATACTTCTATCACTTCACATGGTTACCATATCTTGTGTGTGTAGTGAGAACATTTAAGACCTATTCTCTTAGAAACTTTCAAGTATACAACATAGTATTGTTAATTACAGTCACCGCACCACACACTGGATCCCTAGAACTTCTTCATCTTATAACTGGAAGGAAATTTGTACCATTTGACCATCATCTCCTCGTTTCCCCCACCCCAGGCAACCACCACTGTACTCTGTGTTTCTATGAATTTGCTTGTCTTTTTTTAGATTCCACATATAAGTGAGATCACCAGTATTTGTCTTTCTCTGACTTATTTCACTTAGCATAATGGCCTCAAGGTCCATCCATGTTGTTGCCAGTGGTAGGATTTCCCTTTGCTGTGGCCGAAATATGTGTATGTACACACACACAGACACACACACACACACACACACAGACACACACACACACACACGAGAGGGAGAGAGAAAGAGAGACAGAGAAAGAGACAGGGAGAGATGGGGGTCAGGGAGAGCTGTCACACTTTCCTTATCCATTTAGCTGCAGACATATACTTAGGCTGTGTTCATATCTTGGCTATTGTAAATAATACTACAATAAACATGGGAGGGCAGATATCTCTTTGAGATCCTAACTCCAATCCTTTTGGGTCGACATCCAGAAGTGGGATTGCTGGATCATACAGTAGCTAACGAACCTCCATCCATTTTCCACAGGGGCTGCAGCAATTTCCATTCCTACCAACAGTGTGCTAGGGTCCCCTTTCTCCACATCCTTGCCAACGCTTGCTATCATGTGTCTTTTTGATAAAAGCCACCCTGACAGGTGACATGATATCTTCGTGTGGTTTTGATTTGTGTTTCCCTAATGATGAGTGATGCTGACCACTTTTTCATGTGTCTCTTGGCCATCTGTCCGTCTTCCCTGGAAAAATGTCTATTCCAGTCCTTCGCCTGTTTTTACACTGGACTGCTTGGGTTTGTTTTGGTTTTGGTTTTGTTCTTGAGTTATTTCGCTGTTAACCCTTCATCAGATACATGGTTTGTAGATATTTTCTCCCATTCCTTCTCCCTTTTCATTTTGTTGATTGCTTCTTTTGCTGGGCAGAAGCTTTTTACTTTGATGTTATCCCACATGTTTATTTTTGCTTTTGTTTCTTGTAGCTTTGGTATTATACTGACAGTTCTTGACTGTGGAGGCTGTCTTCTACCCACTAGACGCCAGCATTATCTCCCTCCACCAACTGTGACAACCACAACTGTCCCCAGATATTGACTAATACTCCCTGGGGTGGGGAGCAAGATCACCCCTGTTTTGAGAACTACTGCTTCTTAGGAAGTTGAGCATCCATAAATATTAGAGCTCAGTGTGGCTGGTTTTCTTACTTTATATAAATGATTCCTATGTATACTTTATTACATGTGGCTTCTTTCACTCAATATTGTTTTAAGGCTCTTCCATGGTGTAGGTAGACATAGTTCATTCATACCCACTGCT